CCCCTAAAACCCCCTGTCATGATTCCACCAACCCCTGTTCAAGTGTCCGCTGAATCGTCTGCTATTGTCATTCATGTTGACCCTGCGGAAACCTCAGCTAATATGGTTATAGCTGCTGACTTGGCTCAAGTTATTGATCATGACAAGGACTCAGGTCTCCCGAACCTCAACCTGCCCCAAGCTGAATCTTCATCAGCTGGTTTTTCTATTGCGAATTCTCGCCTGCTTCCTCCACAAGTTCTGCTGGCCAACAGTTTTGGATCTCTCCAGAGTGACAATTTGGGAAATCCGGATGACAACACTTTGGAGGAGGATCTCTCCTCCTCCTCCAAGACTGATGACATCAAGACTCCTCATTCATCCAATCATAAAGCTACTTCCTCTTCCTCAAAAAAATCTTCTCCTGACAAAGCTTCTCCTCCTAAAAAAGGCAAAACCAAAATGGCCAAGAAGGCTAAATCTCACAAATAATTATGTCCCTTCCTCCTATCGCTGCTTGGAATGTAAGGGGGTTTAACAACCCTCTTAAGGTCAAGCTTTGTAAAGACCTTATTGCCACCTTCAACCTTAAGCTTCTATGCATTTTAGAAGCTAAAATTAATGATGTTGCTATGTCGGATCCCTGGTTCTCTTATACCCACGGGTTATTTGAGAATGAACAGTCATGTCATAATTTCAACCTTTCTACTCCTGGTAGAATATGGGTTAAGTGGGACCCTTCTCACTTATCCTTTACTCCCACCTTCTTTTCCTCTCAACTTATTCATGGGCTTGTGAATGTTGGCTCCCTGCCACCATTTTTCCTTTCTGTGGTTTATGCTGCTAATGTTCTGGAGGACAGGAAAGTCCTTTGGGAGGATCTCTTGGGTCTTTCTGCTAATATTGACATCCCTTGGATCATTATGGGTGATTTTAATTGCTACAGATTTGACTCTGAAAAAGCTGGTGGCAACTCTTTGTCGTCAAACCGTTTAGGTGAACTTAATAACTTCATCTTTGATGCTGCTGTTCAAGATCTTGCTTCTGTTGGACTTTTCTTTACTTGGTATAATCAGAGAGTGGATTTTCCCATTCACATTAAGCTTGATAGGATGTTGGTCAACACGATTTTTCTGGATGTTTTTCCCAAAGCTTTTATAAAGTGCATTCTCATTCTGGATCTGACCATGCTCCGTTGATCCTTAGCTAGCCTAATTCCAGAAAAGTGGCATCTAGATTTATGTTTAAAGCTTTCTGGACTAAATTTGATGATTTCTGGCTTCATACTCAAAGGGTTTTTGAGAGAACTCCTACAGAAAGCCTAATTGCTTTCTTCTATGGTTGTTTAAGACTTCTTAAACAGGTGATATGCAAGGAAAATTGGTGCTCCTCGAATTATATTTCTAACTGCATTATTGAACTGAAACATCTGCATTCTCTCAAACTTTTTGAAATTTAAAGAGACCCTTTAAATCTAGATTTGAACAAAGCCTTTAAGAGCACTTCTGACCAACTTTCATCCTATCAAGCTGCCTGGTACTCTTGGATCTCACAAAGCTAAAGCCCATTGGTTGTCTCATGGTGAGAATGACCTGGGTTTCCTTTATGCAAAAATTCGATCAAGGAAAAACAGAAATTTTATCAAGGTTCTTTCTACAGCTAATGGTCTACTTGCTTCTCATGATGATATGGCTAAAGCATTGATAAACCATTTTAAGAACCTTTTTAATGCTCCTTCTCCTTCTGGGGAAAACTCTTTCAGCATTTCTGTTGGAAACACTGTTCCATCCAACATGATTGATGGTTTAATGATGGAGGTTACTAATGATGAAATTAAGAAAGTGGTTTTTTTCGGGCTCTTCCAAATCCGCTCCTGGGCCTGATGGATTTTCCTTTAGCTTCTATCAACAAACTTGACATATTATTGGTTTCAGTCTTTGCAAAGCAGTTAAACAATTTTTTACTAATGGAAAGATGCCTAGGGGGGCAAAAGCTACTGCCATCACCCTTATTCCTAAAGGATCTCACTCAAACTGTATTTCGAATTATCGTCCTATTTCTTTATGCAATGTTTTCTATAAAATTATTGCTAATAGGTTGAAGCCCATTCTTCCCATCATCATTCATGAGAGTCAGTCGGGCTTTATTACTAAAAGATGTTCTACTGATAACATCATTCTTGCTGCTGAAATCTTGAGAGAATTTAACAAAGGAATTTCCTATTTCTGCGCCAAATTAGACATCAAGAAAGCTTTTGACTCGGCTTCCCATTCTTTTCTGCTTAGTAGGCTTAGGCAGAAAGGCTTTCCGGAAAAGTTTATTATGTGGATTCAAGGATGTATCACTGATGTGCATTTCTCTATCAACCTTAATAGAGTCTTGGAGGGCTTTTTTAATTCTACATCCGGGCTGAGACAAGGCTGTCCTCTGTCCCCTTTGCTTTTTTGTGTTATTATGGATGCACTTTCCCATTCTCTTGATTCAGATGCTGACAAACCTTTCCTTGGTCTTAATCATAAAAATTTCAGATGTAGTCATCTATTGTTTGCAGATGACCTCTTGGTCTTTGGAGAGGCTTCTTTGGATAATGCTAAGAATCTTAATGACCTTCTTTTGAGATTTGCGGATTTTTCGGGTCTTCACATCAATCCGCAAAAGAGCTCAATTCTTTTTCCTAAAGCCTTCCCCTTGGCTCAGGAAATTTCTAACTGCCTTGGCATTACCAATGAGGAGAATTCTATTATTTACTTGGGCCTTCCCATCTCACCGTCCAGACTCAAATTTTCTCACTTCCAATCCCTCCTGAGTAGGCTTTCTACTCTACTTGCGGGTTGGAAAGTTAAATTTCTTTCTTTTGTAGGTAGAGTTCAATACTTAAAATTCACTATTGCAAACACCATAGCATATTGGATTCGGGGGGCCATTATACCGAAAACTTGTTGCAAAGTTATTAACAGATTATGTTCAAGATTTCTCTTTTTTGGTAACACTCTGGAGAGGATGATGCATATGATAGCCTGGAATTTTGTTGCTCAGCCCAAAGTTAAAGGTGGTCTGGGATTACCATCTTTTGATTCTATTTACCACAACATGGCATGCTCTTTCATTTTTAGAATGTATAACGATCATACATTAATTGGAACTTGGTATAGAGCAAAATATGACTCGGTTTGGAAATTTCCACCCTCCTCTGCTTCGACATTCTGGAAGCTTTTTTGCCGCACTGCAAACCGCATTTCTCCTGCTATATCTCTCTCGGTTCACAGTTCTAGCAATATTTCCCTTCTATGGGACCCCTGGTGTGATAACAAACCGATTGCTGACAGTTTTTATTCCCCTGCTTTAGCTCATGCCTGGGTTAAAGACTTCATTATTAATAAGAAATGGTTTTTACCTGATTGCATACCGGTTAATGTTAAATCCAGAATTTTAAATACGATTATTCAGGATGAGGAACCTTTACTTTTTTGGGAAGGATCGGATTTTCCTTCTAATCGTAACTTTTTATCTCTTCTACACGAGAATTTGGAGGATGTGGTTTGGAGTAAGTTCATTTGGCACAAAGGTTATGCACTCCGTTTTGCTTGCTATATCTGGATGGCCATTATGGAAAAATTAAAAACGGCTGGCAATCTCATTATGAGGGGTATTAATGTTAAGGCTGGATGTAGTTTTTGTTCGAATCATTTGGAATCTCATTCGCATATTTTTTTCGAATGTGATTTCTCCTTCTCTATTCTTACTGGTCTTTTTCCATACATGGACACTTTTTATCTCAGACCAAACATTTTACAATCTTTTGATTTCCTGACTAATCTGAGATCTCATGGAAGACATGAACGTAATTTCTGTTACCTTACTTTGGCTGCCTTGGTTTACTATCTGTGGCGTGAAAAGAATAATAGGAGATTTTCTAACATATGGAGAAGTCCCAATGAGCTTAAAACTGATATTATTCATGCTATTCGTGCAAAAGTTCAGAACTGGAAGAGTTTTGAGAAAATCAAGCCAATATTTCCGGAAATTCTGGACTAAGACCTTTTTGCTGACTATCCCGGCGCGTGAATATTTTGCGGATTTTAGTGTTTTTCATGCTCAGTATGTGGAGCATCTTACTGGAAGACCGTTATTTGACAGTTCAACCTTCTTTTTGATTAAGATTAATGCATGGAATTTTCTGCCCAGCTCCTCTTCCGCTGGAATTTTGCAGTTGATTTATTTTGGGACAATGATGAGCAGGTCTACATCTCCTACGTCTCCTAGGAGGGTCTTCATGGCAACCAGGTTGACGTATTTTGGGCACTGTGACGGCCCTGTTACTATCCTGGGCAACCGGTGCCTATGTGACATTCGTGATGGGCGGTTTTTGTGATGTTGGCATTGATGCCTTTGAGATGTAGACCATTTTCCTGAGTCCTTAGGATCTTTTCCTTTTCAGGTTTTTCATTTTGGGGTTTTGGTATAGTTGTTTTTCTATACTTGTAATTTTGTTTTTCCTGTAACTTTTGGTGATTAATACAAGGGCTTTGCCCCAAATTTTCCCAAAAAAAAAAATATCAACCATAAAAGGTAAAAAAAATTACATTAAAAAAATGAATACATTTGTTTTATTATAAGTTACATACACACCATCTGAATTATTTAGGCTTCGTTTGTTTTTTTTTTTGCTTTTGTAAAAGACAGTTTTAAAAAACATTAGTTCAGAAAATGGAGTTTTCTAACGGAGAAGCACATATAAAAAGCTTTCTCAAAACTGCAGAAAAATAAAAAAAAGGAGTTATTGAGAACGTGATTTGACGAACCAAACAACACAAAAAAAAATCCTCCGTTTTCAAAAACGGAGAAGGCAAAAAAACGCTCAAACAAACAAAGCCGCAGAAATACTGCGTTGGGCGTTGCACAACGCGGCCAACTTTCTCTGACCGATGACATCAGCCAATACGTTATCTAATGTTGACCAGCCCAAGCCGTGCTCGTCAAGCCAATAATAATTGCTCCGCTCCGTCTATAAATAACGGCTCTCCTCACTCTGCCATTTTACCCAATTCTCTATTTCTCTGCAATCCTCTGTCAGCAGGAAAAACAAAATCCCTAATGTGTCCCACGGGTCTCCACGTAAACCGAAACCTGGCCGCCCAATCGGCGGAAATCCGGCCGGCTTTCGATGTCATCGACGCCGACCGCGACGGCCGGATTAGCCGCGACGATCTCCGCTCCTTCTTCTCCCGCTTCCCCGCTGCTTCCGACGACGTCATCGCCGCTATGATATCCGCCGCCGACGCCGACCGAAACGGTTTCGTGGAGTTCGAGGAATTCGAGAGCGTTCTTCCCGCCGCCGCCGCTGGCGGAATGATGGATGAGGCCTTCCGCATGATGGACCGTGACGGCGATGGGAGAGTGGGGTTTGAGGATTTGAAGGCTTATCTGAGCTGGGCGGGGATGCCTACCGACGACGAAGACGTGCGAGAGATGATCCGTTCAGGCGGTTGCGATGAGGCCTCCGGCGTTGGATTTGATGACCTTCTGCGGATCCTGGCCGTTGATTCTGGCAAGAGTGGCTGGTGAAAGAATTGCGTGACAGATTGCGAGGGGTGATGATGGACGGTTCTGATGAATTGATGAGATGGAAGGTTTTTATTGCAATGGTTGGGATGAATAAACTCCGTTGGAATTTTGGTCTATAATTTTGATTATTTTTGGCGTGATTGTTATTTGTTACTTTATAGAAATTTTCATGATAAGCTTTGATATAGGTGAAAGGAAATTTATTAGAGATTTCAAAGTAGGTTTTTCAATTTTTTAATTTATAATAATAATAATAATAATTGATACTACTATCCGTTTGATGTGATGCCGTTCGGCCCACCGCCTCAAGTGGGCCTCACCTCTCATAAAAAACTGAATTTTGTCATTTTTGGGTCGAAAAAATTCCTAAAAATTTCAAAAAATTTTGAAAAAATTCAGAAAAATTAGGGAAATTCGAAAATGTTAAAAACTGTCCTCTTCTCCTTTGAAGACTATAAATAGACCCCCAAGGCCTTTAGAAAAATTGTACATTCTCTTCTTCTCCATCTGGCTCTCTAACAGTTAAGGCTTTTCGTTATTTTTGAGTAGGTGATTTTCCTTGCTCGACTTAGCGCCCCTCATATTGTACATAGGTTGGAGATTTCTTCTTGTTTTCTTCATTTCTCTCCCATTTTTCTTCCTACTCTCGAAGTTTTTCGCTATCTTTCATAAGTGATTTTCCCTACTCAGATTTGCGCCCCTATTTAGTACAGAAGTTGGAGACTTCTCCTGTTCCTCTTTCTTTCTCCCCCATGTTTCTTCCTACTCTAGAGGTTTTCCGCTATCTTTTGTAAGCAATTTTTCCTACTCAGATTTGAGCCCCTCTTTAGTACAGAAGTTGGACTGGGTGATCACGCGTCCACAAAAAATCCTCCCACCAAAGAAGATCATCTTAACGACCGACCTGAGGGCACTAAGAAGATCCACAAGGTATTGAAGATTGATGATGTTATCTCCACCATCACTGATGATCCCTTCATTTCTTTTAGGAAAAAATTCCATTTTCCTAACGATCTGATGATGAAGGTGCCGACAAGATCTGATCGCGCTTGCTTTCCTCCCCCGGGATATGTGACGGTGTATGAAATTAGTTTGCGAGTGGGGCTGCGATTTCCACCACCTCCTGAATTGATTAACATTCTAATGATCTGTGGAGTGAGTTTATCATAATTTTTCTACAGGGCCATGTCGATCGTAATGGGCCTGATAGTGCTTTTTAGAGACCGCGGAGTGGTGCTGTCTTCAGATTGTCTTTCTCGGATGGGACGTCTCTTTAGTGATACGCAGGGTCGTATCTCCTTCAGATCCAAGTGGTTAGATATTCGCACCCGAGACCCGTCGAAAGACTGGATTAGCGACTTCTTTTTTATTCAAAATGATTAGAACCTTAAAAAAATGGAGAAAGTTGAAGGAGTTGCCCATCCCCCTTCACATTGGAGAGGAAGATTTATTGAGGATTATGAAGCTTCCTGACATTGACGCTTCGTTATGAGGTGTGTTAGTTGAGTAGATACATAGACGAAGAATACTTAGTCAAGGTGGGATTACCTACTCAAACAGGGAGATCGCATGCACAGATATTGAAGAAATCTATGAAAGTTCTAGAGACCCAAAAAGGTCAATCCAAGTGACCAAAGAGTGAGAGAGATTTGTAGGCGTCAAAGAAGAAAAAGTCCCTCACTCTCTGGTCGCTTGGATTGACCTTTTCGGGTCTCTAGAACATTCACAGATTTCTTCAATATTTGTGCGTGCGATCTCACTGCTTGAGTAGATAATCCCACCTAGAATAAGTATTCTTCGTCTATGTATCTGTTCAAATAACGCATCTCATAACGGAGGGCGTCAATGTCAGGAAGCTTCAGAATCTTCAATAAATCTTTCGCTCCAATGTGAAGGGGGATGTGAAACTCTTTCAACTTTCCCCATTTTTCTTGAAGGTTCCAATCATTTTGCACAAAAAAGAAGTCGCTAATACAGTCTTTCGACGGGTCCTGGGAGCGAATATCAACCACTTGGATCTGAAGGAGATACGACCCTGCGTATCGCTAAAGAGACGCACCATCCGAGAAAGACAATCTGAAGACAACACCACTCCGCAGTCTCTAAAAAGCACAATCAGGCTCATTATGATCGACATTGCCCTATAGAAAAATTGAGATAAACTAGCTCCACAGATCGTTAGAATGTCAATCAATTCAGGAGGTGGTGGAAATCGCAACCCCGCTCACAAACTAAATTCGTACACCGTCACATATCCCGGGGGAGGAAAGCAAGTGCGATCAGATCTCGCCGACACCTTCATCACCAAATCGCTAGGAAAATGGAATTTTTTCCTAAAAGAAATGAAAGAATCATCAGTGATGGTGGAGATAACATCATCAAACTTCAATGCCTTGTGGATCTTCTTAGCGCCCTCAGATTGGTCGTTAAGACGATCTTCTTTGGTGGGAGGATTTTTTGTGGACGCGTGATCACCCATTCCAACTTCTATACTAAAGAGGGGCGCAAATCTGAGTAGGAAAAATCACATACTAAAGATAGCAAAAAACCTCTAGAGTAGGAAGAAAAATGGGGGAGAAAGAAAGAGGAATAGGAGAAGTCTCCAACTTCTGTACTAAAGAGGGGCGCAAATCTGAGTAGAAAAAATCACCTACGAAATATATCGAAAAACCTCTAGAGTACAAAGAAAAATGGGAGAGAAAGGAAGATGGGCACGAGGCACAAGAGCATTTGTTATACTGTGCAGGGGGACACATGCGGGGCGCGGACGGGCTATACGTAAGGAATTAGATGTGCAAGTCAGAGGGATGGTCAGATCGTGGATGGACTGCATGGGCGCGGAACCTGAATGGGGCTAGCTTGCTAATGCTGCGTGGGATTGAGTCACGCAAATGAGGCGTACGGGTCATGTGCGAAAGCTGTGTGGTAGTGTTCTGGCTATTCAATTGGAACACCTTATTAATGCATATTCTAATGAACAAGAGGAAAAGGGGCTTGGGTGTTGGGTTAAGGCTCGTGCAAGAAGGAAGACAGATGTACGAATCGCAGGTGCTGTGTGGGGCACAGGCGGAGCCTGGTTGAGGTTGGCGAGAGGTTTTGGGGTTGCAATGAGAAGCAGGTGGATCCTCAGGGTCAGGCATGGGATTGGCTATATCGTGCATAAGTGTGCATAAGGGCTATAGGTGGACTAGTATGGGAGTTCTTGTATGCAGTCAAGCATGGGATTTCCAACGAGAAATGATGGAGCAGAAGCATGTAATTGATTGGAGGGGAAGATCGACAAGGCTATTCTTTGTGGACAACAATTATTTTTAAAAAAATTCTTAGTTTTGTAAAATCTAGACCAAAGTAGAGATTATTGTGATTTTGTCCAGTTTCAGGTTATCTTGTTTCTTAAGCTCATTTTATTCTAAAAGTATAATTGTTCTATATATAGAGAGATTGTAATAACTTTTGAAGGATAAATCAATAAAGAATAGTTTTTTTGGTTTTGTTTCTCTCTCTCTCTCTCTCTCCTCTCTCTCTCATTCCAAGAAGAACAAGAAGCGCACTCACCTCCTCAAGAAATGCTAACACTTAAAATTCAATTTATTCATTTTATTGTCAATGGTATTCAAAGCCCTAATGGTGTTTCTTGTTCTCTAATGCAGAACTCTTTGTTGGTTTGCAAGGCTGACAACTCATGTTAATTGGATATTCATTTGGAAAGCAACATTTTTTTATTATGTGCTTCTAAACTTTATCGAGAAGTTTTTACCCCTTAAAGGTTATTTATAGCTCCCCTCCATATTTGATGGTAACTTAAGTTTTTTTTAAAGAAGACTTTATCTGATATAGATGGAAAGTATTTCCTATGAAGTAGAAAGAATTCAATCTTCAACATTTTAAAGAAATTTTCTCTATCATCCCATATTTAGATCAAAATTATGGGTTTACCTTTGTGTTTTGGAATTCATTAACATCTCTAAAATTGCGAGTTAAAATAAATCATCATGCTATTAATGCCTTAGCTACAAATAGGCCAAGGCTTTCATTTTCCATAATATGTATTTAAGTTGTAATGGCCCCCATTGCTTGAAGAAGTATGCCTTAGCATTATCTATTTTTTAAAAATTATTAATGATTGGAAGTCCACTCCATGCCTTACTATAGCTCCATTGATTTTTCTTATCATTGCCCCACATAATGAAAAGAAATTATTAAGAGTGAACTAAATGCCATACATCATGCTAGGTATGAAGTCTTAGAGTATATTATTATACACTTACTATATATTTTATTTTTTAGTTCACAACCAGTACACACTATGTATTCACTGGAACTAAAAAATGGAGGCACGAGTACAAAATAATGTATCCATAAAATCTACGTATAGTGATATGTATATGATATGCACCTATAATTTATCAAGTATGAAATCTCTTACAGAACTTTATCTCCCTCTATGATAATACATCAGGATTTATAGACTTGCTCAGAGAAAAGCCACGCCATGTACTACTCTTATTATTATCTTTTACTTTACACCTAATTCTTGGACCTCCTTTCAATCTCCCAACAACTTGCCTCTCCCCTTTTCTTTAAGGATTCCAAATATTATCCTTATCCTTACTCTCATGAAATATTTTATCATTGAAGCTTAATTCACAATTCATTACTACTACAACAAAATAATCAAATGCAACCCTAAAATTCAATTAAAGAACAAAGTTCCCCGCCCTCTCTTGAACACATACGTAGAGAATCATAATCTTGTCCAATGGCTGAAACTAATTGGCGGTTCGATGGAAACAATTAGATGTTGTTTTGATGGTGGCATCAGATGATGTTTTGATGGTGGGGATTGGGGTGTAGTCTAATGATGCCATTAGGGGTTTGCCCGACAAAGGTGGCGAGGAGGTGTTCTGTCAAGTGGTAGTTTGATTGTGATAATCAAACAATCATCAAATAGTAACATTGGGTGATGACCCAATTATCTTTTTTACATGTGGTGGAGTAATGATTTGATGGCAATGTTCAGGCAGTGGCCTGATGATGGTGGTCAGATGATTGTTTGATGACGATAGTCAAGTAGTGTTCAGACGATAGTGATTAAGTGGTGGGCAGGTTATAGTACTCAAGTGAAACTCTAAGATTCTTAAAACCTTTAAATTTTCTTTAATCTCAAGCTCAAGTCCAAGCTATAACTCCCCCTTCATGTTGAGAGTAGGGCAAATTCATAGATTTTTTTAGAGGCATGCCTTGTAAATATAGTCAAAATTCAAAACACTGAATTTAACTACCAATATTGATTCCTCGAACATAGATTATTTATGCAACATTTAAGTGCATTAATAATATTAGAATTAAGCGATCTTAGTTTGATGGATTTTTCTCATAAAAAACTCTTGATTGCTTATAAACATGTCAAATTTGAATAGCATTTTGATTTCCAATTAATGTCCTAAATTTTCTAAATATATTTTAAATACTTGATCTGAGTTCATTCATTCTCAAATTAGATCACTTTTGATGTCATTGGATTCGTATCTTCAAGATGTTAATTCCACTATAAATTTGTTAAAATTAGAGTTTTAATGGTCTTCAATAAAAATTTGAACTTTTATGTTCAAATATGTATCAAATTTCTTTATTGATTAAGGCAATTTTTTAAATTATGTCATATACATTTAAGAGTAAACTTTTGAAATCCAAGCTTATTGTCATACCTTAGTTGATGTTTTTTTTTCCAAGAAAGTTTGGGGTCACACCTAGCTTTTATTGATATTAGTATAAATTCTCAAATAATAAAGCTTACATTTTCAATAATGTTTTTGTAACGTTGTAAAATCTACACCAAGGTGGAGATTATTATGATTTATTCCAGTTTCAGGTTATCTAATTTCTTAGGCTCATTTTATTCTAATAGTTTCTTTGTTCTATATATAGAGAGATTATAATAGATTTTGAAAGGTAAGCCAATAAACAATAGTTTTATGATTTTGTTTTTTTCTCCCTGGATTCTACTCTCTCTCTCTCTCTCTCTCTCTCTCTCTCTCTCTCTCTCTCTCTCCCTCTCTCTCTCATAATCCAAGAAGAAGAAGAAGCTCCCCTCAAGAAATCCTAACACTTCAAATACAATCTATTGATCATGCCCTCCCTCTAATAATAACTTGAATTTGAATGTTCTACTCACAAATCAAAATTCTACTTAAAAGCATTTTCTTGTCAATGGTATTGAAAGCCCTAATAATGTTACTTGTTCTCTAATGTGGAACTCTTTATTGGATTGAAAGGTTGATAATTCATGCTAGTTGGATATTCACTTGGAAAGAACATTTTTTATTATGTACTTCTAAACTTTATCAAGAAGGTTTGACCCCTCAAAGGTTATCTTTAGCTCCCCTCCCTATTTGATGATAACTTTCTTCTTAAGTTTTTTTTTAAGAAGACTCTGATCTAATATAGATGGAAAGTATTTTTCTACGACGAAGAGAGCATTTGATCTTTAACATTTTAAATAAATTTTCTCTGTCATCCCATTTTTAGATCAAAATTATGAGTTTAACTTTGTGTTTTTGGAATTCACTAACATTTCTAAAATTTTGAGTTAAAATAAATCATCATGTTATTGATGCTTTAGCTACAAATAGGTCAAGGCTTTCATTTACTAGAATATGTATTTAAGTTGTAATGACCCCCACTGTTTGAAGAAGTATGCCTTACCATCAATAATATGCCTATTTTATTAAATTTATTAACGACTGGAAGCTCACTCCATGCCTTACTACAGCTCCATCAATTCTTCTTATCATTGCCCTATATAATGAAGAGAAATTCTTAAGAGTGAACTATATGCCATACATAGTGCTAGGTATGAAGTCTTAAAATATATTATTGTATACTCACTATGCATTTTCTTTTTTAGTTCACAACAAGTACAACTATGTAGTCACTGCAACTAAAAAATGGAGGGCACAAGTACAAAATAATGTATTCATAATATCTATGTATGATGCTATGAATATGATATGCATCTAATAATTTATCAAGTATGAAATCTCTTAAAGAACTTTATCTCCCTCTATGATGATACATTAGGGTATATAGACCTGCTAAGAGAAACACTACCCCCATACTACTCTTATTATTATCTCTTCCTTTACACCTAATTCTTGGACCTCCTTTCAATCTTCTGACAAATTGCCTCTCCTCTCTTTTTTAATGATTCCAAATATTATTCTCAATCCTTACTCTCATGAAATATTTTATCATTGAGCCTTAATTCACTAATCATTTACTATTACAACAAAATAACCAAATCCAATCCTAAAATCCAAAGATATACCAAAGTTCCCCGCCCTCTCTTGAAACACACATAAAAATCTTAATCTTGTCCAATGGCCTAAACTAATTGGTGGTCCGATGACAGCAATTTGATAATTTTTTGATAGTGGTATATGAAGATGCTTTGATGGTGGTGATCGAGGTGTGGTCTAATGATGACATTAGGTGCTTGCCTGATAAAGCGACGAGGTGGTGTTCCGTCAGGTTATGATTTGATGGTGATAGTTAGTCAATCATCAGATAGTGACATTGGGCTATGATCCAACGGTGGTGTTTAACTGTGGTGGAGTAGTGATTTGATGGTGACGACCAGGCAATGGTCTGATGATGGTGGTCAAACGATTGCTCGATAGTGGTGGTCAAGCGGTGGTCCGACAACATTGATCAAGTGGTGGGCATGTTAAAGTGCTCAAGTGAACATTAGAGATTCTTAAAACCATTAAACTCTCATTAATCTCAAGCTCTAGTCTAAGTTACAACTCCCCCCTTCATGTTGAGAGTGCTCAAGTGAACCACCAATTTATGGATTTTTTTTTTAGTGTCATGTCTTGTAAATATAGTAAAAAAATTAGAAACATTGCAATGAATTGCCAATATTGATTCCTTGAGCATAGATTATTCATGCAACATTTAAGCGCCTTTATGATATTTGAATAAAGCGATCTTTGACTGATGAATTTTCCTCATATAAACGAATGATCTATAAACATGCCAATTTGGAGAGTATTTGGACTTCCTATTAATGTCCTAAATTTTCTCAATATATTTTAAGTACTTGATCCAGGGCGGATCCAACTTCTTGTTTCATGGTGGGCAAAAATAATTTTTTTTGTAGGGGATGGACAAAGACGATTAGGATTAATAAAATTAGGGCAAAAAATTTTTTTAAGGGAGGTTAGGGGGGCAAAATACCCAAAATATTCCAAAATATCCCCATTATTTTATTTTTTGAGGGTGGGCATTTGTCCACCCTGAGTACATGGGGGATCTGCCTATGACTTGATCATTGCTCATTCATACTCAAATTAGATCACTTTTGATGTCATTTGGTTTGTATCTTCGAGATGTTAGTTCGATTATAAGTTTGCTAATATCAGAGTTTGATTCATTTTGAATAAAATTTTGAAACTTTTCACTTCAAAAATGCATCAAAAGTCTTTCTCAATTAAAACAATTTTTTATGATATGTGATAAACATTTAAGAGTAAACTTTTGAAATCCAAGCTTATTGTCATACCTTAATTAATGTTTTTTTTCTAAAAAAGTTTGATGTCACAAAAATAGGGTGAAAATCACAAAATTTAAAATATTAGGCTCATTTAAAAAAAAAAATTAAGAATTTATTTCTTTTGTAATGAAATATTAATCAAAATATTTTATTTTAAAATTTGAAATATAAAATAAATTATCAAATGTAGTAAAGAATTACAAGATTGGAAAATATTAATAACAAAGACAGTAAATCTTCAGGTGCAACAGAAATGTGCTTACACGTGATTTATCCCAGCAGCGCAAATCTTAAAGCATATGAGAGAGAATACGTACACATGCTCGTGGGCAAATTTCTCTGACCCGCGACGCCAGCGGACACTCTAATTTGGCCGTTAGGAGCCGTCCAACAATTTTGAATTTTTTTTTAATATATATGATAATATTATTTTAATTCACAGATAAATTTTAAGAAAATGAATAAATATTAAAATTTTTATATATTATCGAATTAGTAAATATCATTTGATTTTAGTAAATATTAATTTTTAAAATTATTTTAGTTGTTTTTTTTTTTAGTAAAACTTACTTTAGAATAATCTAATCCAACTTGTTCAATGAAATATCTCATTAAAAAATTAAATTTATTTCAGAATAAATAATATATAAAAAAGAACGTAAATTATATTAAAATACAAACTATGTTATTCAATTTAATTTAAATTAATGTTATATATATAATTTAAAAATAAATGTAATATGCTTTAAATTAATATATATATCATAGTATTATTATATTTTTTCAAGAAAAAAATTCAAATATTCTTCAAATTATTTATAGGTGGCCAATTGAATTCGAGAGTATTATATTGCACCAATTTAATTCATTGAATATATAATATTAATTCTAAATGGTCATTTATGTTATAAATGTGATATAAAATTAATTTTAATTTAGATCATCAACTATTTAAAATTTATGCTAATTTATGTTATGTTTGGGATGACTTTTTTAATACTTCTTAAAACAATTTTTTAATACAAAAATTAAAAATTTTGTACTAAAAAATTGCTAAGCAGTAATAAAGCCATTCCAAACGAAACTTCAATCAATGTTATATGGCTGATGGCTAAATTGTACTAACGAGATACTCTTAAACTAAATTAACCAATGGGAGATTATTTTAAATTTACGCCTATTTTATTATAAATAATTAATAAAATTTTGGAATTTATTAAATATAAAATAAATTCAATAAATTTAACCAGATTCTGATTCGAACGGAATATCCCAACCTTAATTTTTTTCCCAAAAATACCCCTCCCCAACGCCATAATTTTCACCTTTCTTCTTTACTCCCCTCTTATTCCCCTTTCTAAAAACTCTAAAGTAGTAATCAAATCCCCCAACACAGAAAAGAAACCGCACAATGTGCCCCACCGCCCGCCATCCCCACCGCAACCCTGCCGCTAAATCGACGCAAATCCGGCCGGCCTTCGACGTCCTCGACGCCGACCGTGACGGCCGAATCAGCGGCGACGATCTCCGCGCCTTCTTCTCTCGCGTCCCCGCTGCCTCAGACGATGTCATCGCCGCCATGATCTCCGCTGCCGATGCCGATTGCAGCGGCTTTGTCGAGTTCGACGAGTTTGAGCGCATCCTACCCGACGCCGCTAGCGACGGCGAGATAATGGAGGAGGCCTTCCGTTTGATGGACCGTGACGGAGACGGAACGGTGGGGTTTGACGACCTGAAGGCGTATTTGAAATGGGCAGGGATGCCCGCCGGCGACGAGGATGTGCAGGAGATGATCCGTTCCGGCGGGTGCGACGAATCCGCCGGCGTCGGATTCGATGATCTGCTACGGATCCTGGCCGTTGATTCTGAGAGAAGGACTTGAGAGATTCGCGTTTGGCGGGTAAAATAATCTGGCATTTGGTATTTATTACTACCTTTTCTTAGCTGGCTCTAACGTTGCGTGGATCGGGAATCTTGACGATGGACGGTGTGGATGTATCGATGAGATGAAATATTTTACCAGTATTTATTGTTATAGTCGAGATTAATGAATTTCCATTGCCAGTATTTTAATATTTGATTTATCAATTGAATTTGTTTGTAAGATTGAATAAAAATTTTATTAGAAGAATCTAATATGATTTGTATTATAATAATTCAAAAAATATTAAAAAGCATACAATAAATTATTATTCATAATAACAAGATAAATTATTAATGTTAAAATATTTATTTTTATGATATTTTATTTTAATAAAATAATGGAGAGAGAGAGAGATCATCCTTGGTGCTTCCTTAATCACCTCTAACATGAGTTTTAAACTTAGGTTATACAGTTAGGTTAAGAGCTAGCTAGCTTGGCTTAAGCAAGTGGGCAACCCTTATTAATTAGGAGGTAAGGATTGTAAGTTTAGGGTAGTCCTTATTTTGAATTTGTTTAATTACATTATATTAGCTTAATCCGCCATTAATCACCTTATTAAGCTTGATTAATGACCTAATCAGTCCCTAAGCTATTAGCTTAGGTCACCTAACGTTAAAAGGATTCTAATAGAATTAATCAGGTTAGCCAATTGTGCTTGAAATTGAATTTAGATTCACATAAACCTAATTGGGTCAATATGTTTTAATTTACGTCAAGTGATCTAATTAGGTCAAAGCAATGGGTCAATCTAGTCAAATGGAATGAGTTTAATCTATTAGACTCAATTGGTCGGGTTGGGTTGTGTCAATTGAATTAAAATTAAACTAGTTTTGTCAATTTTGTTCAATTGGACCAAATGGGTTATCTATGAGTCCACCTCGATTTAATTGGGGCAATTAGATCAAATCAAAGCCTAGTTTGTCTCAATAAGGATATGGTAAATTAAATTTTTTTTTTTAATTTATTGAATCAAATAGAATTTTAAATTCAGTTGGGATAAGAAAGTTTCTTAAGAGTTCAACTATTCCAGGTCGCATCAATTAGGCCTAATTGGCTCAACCATATGGCAATTGACTCAATGTTATGGATGATAAACTTACCTAGGTCAATTGAAAGTCTTATTCATATGTTGTACGATTAATATACTCAATTTAGCCTAAAAGGTTCAGTTGGGATAATTTAGATTAATTAGAAAAAAATAGCGAACTTAAGTGTGATTAAAAATTAATTGGGGGTGTTACTAATATTTATTCATTTAGAATGGGTTCTAATTATTGGCATAGCTTAATTGGGCCAAAATTTTCAAAGTGGCCTAAGGGGTTCAAATGGGCCAACTTGGATTAAGCGAGCCAATTGAAAAAATAAGAACCAATTGGGCTTGGTTTATATATGGTTAGTCTTTTGAAGTTAGTTTGAAGCTTTAAGCTCAATCAATTTAGATGATTTGAAGGTATAGGTCCAACTAGGTCCAATAGGTCCATTTGAGTTAACTTAGGGTCAAAAGTTTAATTAAGCTAACCCAAAGATCTATTCGGCTCAATTAGGTTACATATAACCTATCAGGACCTAATGAGATAATGGGTTCTTTGGGTTGATTGAATCAACTTGTTCAAAAAGTCTAATTAAGCTTAATTATTTTTAGATTTTTTTTAAATAAGTCAAACCGAAGACCTTAATCCAAATACAAGAGTCCAATATTTAATCACAATCAATTCAATTTTAATTAAGATATTAGAGAATATGATTGATTATTTATATCTTAAACTAGACCTATTAGGCTAAATTAGGGTTAACTTGTTCAAAAAGTCTAATTAAGCTTAATTATTTTTATAATTTTTTTATATAAGTCAAACCTAATATTTAATCACAATCAATTCAATTATAATTAAGATATTAGAGAATATGATTGATTATTTATATCTTAAACTAGACCTATTAGGCTAAATTAGGGTTAAGTTAGAGTTCGGGATAGCTTAGAGTTGACACTGATCAATTTAAGTGAGGGTAAAGATCAAGATTTGAACAACCTAGGTTCTCCTCCTATAGTTTCTGATAAGCTCAAAACAGTGTTACAATCATTCTAGGGTTGATCTTAATTAGCATAGCTTATGATATGAGTTAGGCTTAAGGAAGGGTTTTACCTGGGATTGATTTGATAATGGGAAATGAATCATAAGAGATGAAATAAAAGATTGATTAGATCATCTAGAGGGAGCTAGAGGATCAAGCAAGGGTTTCGATATTACAAAAATTTAAATTTTTGTAATAAAAAATTGCTTTAAGAAGCAATAAGAAAACCGTCCCACACGAAGCCTTAGATTATTCAATCTCAGTATCATGTAAATACGTAGATCTCTTAAGAAATCCAAAACTTCATAATTTGTATTTTTATCAGCTCTCTTGTCTTCGTTTATTTTTTGCTTGAACTTTTTTTTATCTCTTTCCCAAAAATAACCACATGGTATTTTTATAAAGCAATTTTTTCATGAACTGAAGCTAATAGGTGCAGTAGTAAACCTTCTGTTTTTTTCCAAAAATCTGCTGTATGCAATTTTTCTCTCTTATTTTAATCATGAGATCGATGCAGACTGAAGAGCGTTTCAAAAAGCAGTCTAAAAGCACTTCTGACATTCAAAAACTGTAGCTAGTTTGCTGAGCAGCAAATTAACTTGACGATTTTCGCTTGTTTATTCTTGTGGTTCTCCTCCCTTTTTTATCGTTCTATTTGAAAACTTAGATTTTGAATTTAACAGATTGTTTTATTTAATGTTTAACCTTCTCAAGAACTTGATACCAGCAATAATTTTTATGCAGATTTCCAGTACTGAAAGCTGACCAAATAGTGGTGATAAATCTGGTGCAGATGAGGATAGAGGATATTAGAAGTAGTTGCATTTTGAGGTTCCTGCAATCAACAATGGCTTCCATACGACCAAAGTCATTATTGTCATCAAATTTAAGCAAACTGTATTAAGGTGTTGGTTGAGACAGCTTTTTTACTGCTTTCTAAGGCTTCATTTGGGACAGCTTCTTTATTGCTTTCGAAGATGACTTTTTAGTAAAAATTATCTAATTTAAAAAAAAAAAAATTGTAGTAAAAAGTTGTTTTAGAAAGCAGCAAGAAAGTTGTACCAATTGAAGTCTAAAGATACTTATTAGAGGATCAAATGATCTCCAAATCTTTTATGTTTATAATCAAATTGAACGTCTTGACATGATGAATCCTACAAGCATAAAATCATATAATTATGACATCTTTAAGATACATAAATGTTAAACTAATGATAAATACTTGAAGAAATCAATATTGTCTGTTAATGGAGTGTTTTGGATTTTAGCTATATTTATCAAGATTGAGGAAATCAAACCAGGCATCGAACCAAAAGAAGGTGAGGATCATAGTTCGATGGTTTGACCCGGGTCCAACTGGGGTTGAACAAGATTACGTAATAAATATTAATGTTATCCAAATATAATATAAATTACATAATGATTAAAATTTTTAAAGCGAATAGATAACTATTTTGATTAAAGCTCTTGATCAAGCTCTACTAAAGCTCAAAATAAAGCTCGTTACGAAGCTTGATTGACCTTTAATATAAATATAAGTGTTTGTATATTACAAATATTGTTATACACATATTAAATAGGTTTTTAATTAAAAAAGTTTAATAACATGAATGTATAAATATAAATATAGTGTTTAATAAGAAGAATAATATAATATTTAATATAAACAAATAAATTATGTAAATATAAAAAATACGTTCTAAACTATTATAAATTATACAAATTCTCAGCCCAAAGTCATAGCTCATTAAGGTTCTTTGTGTCACACATCATAAGAGAATTTAAGTGATTATCTTTATATAGTGTACCATAAATTATAAGAAACAAATAAAGTTGTAGGCTTGCAACTATATATTCTATTTATTTTTATTTGCATATGCCTTTAAATAGATATTTAAATTTTTTAAAATATTTAATCAAATAAAATTTTGTAATTAAATATTTTATTAAAATTAAAAAAAAATATTGAACCACCCGTTTCAAACAAACTAGAATTGGTTCAATGGTTTTTTGGTTGAACGAGCAATTCAAATCGGATTATGTTGGTTCAATACGAATCCGATTTTCCAACCTGGCTAGACCGACAACTTGACCCATTCACGATTGAACCAATTGAACTGGTATGTCCGATCCAAGTTTCAAAACATTGATATTTATAGGGAATGTCACTTTCAAAATTTTATAAATTTCAAAACTTAGTTGAGATTCAAGAGAGCTCAAACTTTTGAAAAATTTCATAGCTTGAAAAATCTCATAGCTCCACTTGAACACCATCACCCAATCCACAACCATTAAACCATCGCCTAATCACTATTATCAAACCACCATTATAGGGCCATGATCCAACAATCATCATTGAACTACCACCGGACCACTACTATCCAACCCTCACAATCGAACCAAACAAACCATCACGATTTTCCATTACCCTCAATCGCCACTATCAGACTGCCAAGACCTATTTGTGGTCATTCGATCGCTGTCACTTGGTCTATTTGATCACTGCCACTTGATCATTATAGCTCGATTATGATCCTCCGACCACCATCACCAAACTATGTTTTTCAAACACTGTCCTCTAACCACCATCACCAAACTACGCACATTCGACCACCACACCAAACTACGATCCTCCAAGCACCATTACTTGTGTATGGTCATCCAATCACCATTGCTCTACTAAGTTCCTCCGACCATCATCACCTATTTACAATCATCTAACTAGCTGACCCAACTATGATTCTTCGACCATCGCTCAAATATGATCATCTGACCCCCATCACTTAACTATAATCCTCGAACCATCAGTTGACAAAGTTCTTCCAAACACTATCACCGAAATAAATCCTTTGACCATTATTCCCCAAATATGATTCTCTAACCACTTTGGCTTGATTATGATCTTCCAAACACTAATGGTCATTTGACCACCATTACTAGACATCAATTTTTAGACCACCATAACCAAATTATGATCTTAACACACTAGTAATTATTAAACTATGATCCTACAATCGTCATCACTCGAATAAATTCTTAGATCATTATTGCTTGACTATAGTCAAATGGCCATAGTCACTCAACTATGGTCCTTCAACCTCCATCATCCGACTATAACCCTTTACAACTATCATCAGGCTACAATCCTCCAACCATTATGGTTAAATTACAATCACCCACAACCATTTTCAGACTATGGCCCTCTAAACACAATCGCTTACAATAATCATTACTCGACTACAATTCTTTATCCAATATCACCTTTCTACAGTCCTTCAACCATAGTCACCAGCCTAATCTTCTGACCACTCTTGCCACACTACTGCCCTTTGACCACTATCCTAATTATAATCTTTTGTTCACTACTTCCAGACTACAGCCTTTCAACTTATCACAACTCAATCCAATATGATCGAAATTTTATATGTCATATCATATCTTATTGTAGCAAGACTGACTCTAGGATCCAGTTGGAGAAGCAATAAAATAAAACTTCCAATTTAAATACACCACATAAGTGCTACTTAATACAATATAATGCAAAAAACTAAATCTCAAAACAATTTTTCTATATATCATTCAAAATGCATACAACATGAGGTATTTATAACATAACTTGATAATAAATAATATAACCAAATAAAAGCCAAGCTTGCAAAAATCAAACTAATAAAAATACACATGCAATACAAGTCATAATATGTTATCTAAACTACTCAGCTCACTATTTATCCTTCACATGGTTTGAAAACAAAAACAAAAATAAGAATGAGCTAATATGACTCTATAGGCTATTACAATCTAAAATGAAAATCAATATCTGAAATCAAAAGAAGTGAATATATTGTGTTGTAATAGTAAACGGAAGTGATGTACAAAAAGCTGAAATTGAAACATTTATTGACATTGAATGCATTATAATGAACTGTATTGTAACTGAAATATAGATAAGTGACTTATGAAAATTTTCAGAATATATAGCCCTTAGGCTCTAGCATCCTAGCACATCTTATATCAAAATCCCACCTCGATAGCTCATCGACTCCGGCATGACAGAATCTCAACATGGTTGCCCACTATCGCCGGCATAACAGAATCACACATCGGTCGTCCAATGGTGTCGTCATAAACAAATCCCACATCGATCGGCCACTAGCTAGCCCTGGCATAACATAACATCACATCACGTCATATTATATCACATTTTATTCATATTTTTTGATGCATTTCAATAATTAAAGCATAATTGGAGTAAATTCAAAAATTGCTAGAATGCTATAACATTAGGCAATAGAGATTATGTTAAACATCATTTTGAAGCTTTAGTTGAACTAAAGAATCATTTTTAGATGTCAAAATAAATTTTTGATTAGCAAAAAATCGTTACTTTTTCAAAGTCACCTGGTGAAATTTTTTTAAAATATATTCAAAATGTTCATAATTTTAATTTCTAAAACATATAATTAGTGAAAGTTTTACCAAAACAAAGTTATCCTCATTTTTCGGTAACGAAAATACAAATTTGATAGAAAAAAACCAAAAAACATCCAATCATTGAAAATTAAAATAAGTAAAATGTAACATGCCTCAAGTTGAAAAAAATTTCCAACCAGACCAACAGACGAGAACCAATATATGACCACCAAACTCTAGCTTTTCTTCATCTCTCTCCTCTCTTTTATGGCATTTTCAAAAAATTTCTTTTGTTGCTTTCCTATTAAATGAAATGAAGAAAAACAAAAGTTTTTAATTAGATAATAATAATAATCATAGTATAAAATTCATAGAATTTTTTTGAAGATTCAAAACATATGGAAAAATATTCATATAATAATCCATCCGCCAAACAAATAATTTTTTTGCCTATTACAGGTAAAAAATATCTTTTGTAAATTTTTTAGTTGTAACACAACCATTATCACTAGACTATGATTCTTCAACCATCGTCATTCTATTATAATCCTCCAAAAATTATCACTTAATTACAATCCTCTAATCACCATCATTCATCTATTATTATCCGACCACCATCGCTTGCCTATAATCCTCCCTTTATTACATTGACGTCGTTGACTTTATTATTTGCCGCACATATCATCACTCATAAGATCAATATTTGTCATCATTGACATCAAAATTTATACTGATTTTCGTAATATGATTGAATCACTCCACATGCACTGTCATAAACATTGAAGAACTGTTGTTAAAGTTCTTTGTGTTGTCATTTTCTACTACTTTCTTTACACAATTTCCAGTAGCAGGATTTCCATTAAAGGGGGGATGATTAATGCAGTACTGAACATATTTATGGACTTTGACATGTCATTATCTAACATAATACAAAGAATTTAACCCCATAGAACTAACATTCAAATGTGATGTCTCATGTTCTTATCAAAGTAATTTCATTTATCATAACATTTCACTTGTTGTCAAAACTTTTATCATTTGGAACTAGTATTGTGGTTGTAAGTTTATTTAAATTTGATTTTTTATTTGATCTGACTTTTTTATTATCTAATAGCCATTCGATTAATTAGAATCACTATCTTTCTTTATTTGCTTTCATAAAATCTTATAGATAATTAATATTTGGGGTGTAAATGAGCCGAGTCGAATCTCTTGTTAGCAAGCTCATTAGTCGATCTTATGGAGTCACGAGTTTGAGCAAGAGCCTAGACTCGAGCTCAGCTTGGCTTACCTCATAAGCTCATTGAGACGCTCGAATAACTTAGAATATATTTCAAAATTCATTTAAATTAGCATTATGTAATATATTTTAATAATTTAAAATGAGTTCTATATTAAAAATAAAATAAAAAATATGAATTTTTTAATTTAAAATTGAGAAATCGAGCTCATCAATCAAGTCAACCTCGAGCTTTTCAAATGAGCTCGTGCCTATAAATTTTTATAACGAGTTCAGCTCGAGCTTAATAAATGCGCCCGAGGTTAATATCAATAAGAACAAAACAAGCTTAGCTCGATTAGTAAGATACTTGACTCGACTCGACTCAATTACGCCTTTGCTTGATAATATATCAAGTTATAATAAACCATCAAACTTGTGATGACTCAAAATAAGTCAATTTGAAGAAGGTGGAGACTAGAGAAGTTCGTAGAGAGCTTTCTCTTCAATCGAAAACCTTACGATCGAAACAT